AGAGGTTTCTACCTTGCAAAACAAGTCGTTCATCTCCACCGTCTTGAAACACATCATAGATCTCCAACCAATCTTTACATCTAAAATTACGTCCTTTAATTGAAATATAGCCTTGCTTTGATTTGTCGCTCCGCTGCTTTCATTCTCCTATGCTGAGAGTTGCAAATTACTTCAAAAATGCGTTCAAATTTGCTGATTTTACACTGAGGTAGATGCGAAGTAGCCAATGCCTTTTTCAATTTGAGCAGAACTAAGCACCTAGTATAAATGCGTTAAATCATTTCAGCGATAATTCCCAACACACTGGAGCATCATGTAAGTTCCAAATTCTTATTGTAATTACAGGAAGGATGTCTCTTTTTATTATATAAGAATGCCATAACCATATGAACTTTCTCTCCCTACCTGTCCTCATCCTTTCCCACATAGAGCGCAAACTGTTCAAAATGGATAAGGATTTGTTGCCCAGGCCTGCCTTCGATAAAGTACGTGCAATTCGTGTCGAGTGGGTACTAAAACATTTCTTTATAAAGAAGCTAGATCATTCGTAGTGCATGAAATAGTTAAGCATAATGTGAAAAGCACAGTTAACTGACATTTGCTGGATATCTGGGACTGTTAAAGAATCCTATGGGGCTTCGAAAACGAAAGAGGCATTCGTTCGAAGTGCCGATTGACTCGCCTGTCACACCAAAATCTAAAACTCAAACTGTTATTCATCAAAATGGGAGAGATGAGTCTACCGTTGAATTTGTGTTTTCCTTTTTCCTTATATCGAAATTCTTCACGATGATCATGATAATTACCTCAATTCCAAAAATGTATGATTTTTGGAAAATTGTGAAATTACTGTTATTATTACAACCCATTGCATGGAATTCAGAAGTTACCTAAGTTTACCATGTTCTTAATTACGCCAACAGCCACATAGGGTCAGCAATTTCGTACTGCTCACGCATAATTTCGTCACAAGAATTTCAAAAAAACGCATGAGAAAGTACACCTCAGAAATGCATGCGTGCACTGGTTAGTTGCATCGTCACGGTTCAATCAAATTTTCCTTTTCAAGTTTGGAAAGGTCTTAGTA